ATTGATTTAACAATGATCCATGAACCTTTCAATGTACATGGATTAAGGGTGTGACTTTGCGTTTAATTTTGTAAACGTTTAACAAATAGTTTCAGAATCGTTTAAACATTTAGCCATTCACAAATGCTGACACATGCTCATTATGTCTGCAGACCAGTGTGATTGACACGATAAAGCAACAATGGCAGTCATTGAAAACATAAAAAGTTAACTACGTGTGCCCTGAATGTAATCAAGTGTTGAAGTGCTTCAAAGGTTTTGCAAATTAAATAGGTTTAAAAACATCATGAATTATTTGTGCTGTGTAGGTATAACTTAAAAAGACTGCATGACAGGTGGACGAAGGTCCCTTTTTATAACTCGGGTTTCGTTTAAACGTTTGTGGAAAATTTGTTAACAATTTAGAACTGTTTTCGCTTTAACATGTAAACGTCACATCCTTAACATGTACATGTATGTACATATAGATGGGTTAAGAAAGCATCCAGACTTACGCTACTGCAGGTCATATCCTCAGCAGTAAGTGGTGCCATATCAGCGGCTACTGGCACATCCCCATTGGCTTGCATTTCTTCCACCTTCCCTTGATGCACTTCTGCTGGCTCTTCTGCCAAGCAAGTCCAGAAAACACTGTCCATATCTTGCTTGACCAAACTTAGGTCCCCTGCTGTTGACATTGGTGTGTCCCCTGAGGGACCCATGGCGATGGTAAGTGAGGTAGGAACCAGACTGTTGTTGTGTTGTTGGTGGTAAGACTTTGAGGAGTCCATGCTACAACCTGGCTGGTCTTCTGCTGAGGTTTGTTGACTATAGGATCTTCCTGATGAGGGACCTGCTGGATTTTGATTCATGATACTAATTGCCTGTTGTCGTCTGTCACCTTTTGAAAAATGCAAACAGGCTCATGTAAGAATTCAGCTTACTAGCTTCAAATGTGCATTAAATAAAAATATAACATTGACATTGCAAATAAAAACCAAGGTGGGTTTTTCTTCCGCCTTCCAGTGCTTAATCTGGCTGTTATGTCAAGCTTTTCATACAAATGGTTGCCTGATGCCTTGCTTCCTTGTTGAAAGTAAAGCCTTTGTGCACTTTCTTCAGTTAGATTTTTAAAAAATCACGTTTACGCAGAATTAAATAACAGAAATATACACCAGAGATACAACAGAAGGGCTTCTTTTGAGTTCTAACCAATCACATACCTGTATGAGGATATCGGTCGGACTGATGTTCCATTTGTGCGGCATTCTCACTTTGCCATGATGAGGCACTATCCAATTCCAGTCTTGTCATTTCAACAGCCTTCTGTCCCCCAACTACATTTGAAATCACTGGCTGACTGAAACAGGTTTCCACAGTAGATGCTCTCGCAGGGGGTGAAGACACATTCCACTGAAGGCTTGGACATCGCATTCGATCCCTAGAAGTCAGAGGTGAGTTTTTCTGAACTAATCTCCTCTGACTGTGGCTTAATCGTTTTGGCTGTCGCAGTGTATTCATCTTTGACTTCAGTGGCATTTTCTTCACAGTTGTAGCTGTATGATAAGATATTGCTGTCCCTGTATTGTGGCCGACATTCCGAGCAGTCGATTTCAAGCAGTCTCTTTGTTCTCCAGATGACGGCTGAGGTCTTCCGTGAGGTTCAGCAGTTGATGGAGATGCTACTCTCTTCTCAGAGATGTTAGGTACAGAGGCAGTGCACCTACCGGTAGCTCCTTGGTCATTTCTTGCAGATGCATCCTGAGGTGACCGGGGGTTAGTCCTAGCCATTCTTGAGTCTTCAATAAATCTGTTGCTGACGACTTCACTGGGCTCACTATTGACCTGGGAAGGAGAAAGGGACATGGCCTGCTGCATATCATTAGAGGCTGTATCATCCAGGATTTGTACGTCATCAGATTCCAACTGGCCGTCTCTCTTAGACAACAATGCGTCTGTCCCTTCAACTTGTTGCACTGCAGAATTTCTTGCAATTTTTGAAGGCGCACATGTCCCCCGTTGATGTGAGTGATTGGTCCTCTCATTGGGAACCAGTTGAGAGTCAGTGCGGTTCTCTTCACAAGTCTGGTTCCACGTCAGTGACAAGTTTTCAGATGTATTGAGAACTACGCGTTTGTCTTGCACATGTAACTGCAAGCCCATTCGAGGGGATGAACCCAACATGCACTTTTAACATTTTCTTAAATAGGTCTCATCATGTTTGATGTAACATCTTCTCCTTTGCTTTGCACGCTTTCTCTTCTTTTTCGCAAGAGTCTTGGCCAGGTGGGCATTTCCATTCCTCTGTTGGTGTTTACATGATGCAGACAAGATGTTTCTGTGTCTCCTAGGAATCCTATGGTGACATGTCTTCCTCGCATGCACTGGCTGCTGTGACCTTTGAACCTTCACCTGGTTTTCAAAAGGTGATTCCTCACCAGATGCCCAACCTGTGCAGATTCAAAAAAATAAGATGATAACCAAGTAAGCACATTTAGGAATTCATCAAAATAAATCAGAAACACCACGAACAACCACTTTTGTATATCAAATTTTACAAATAAAAACCTTAAACTGATGAATAAAGATTATGCATTTGCTCTGTATGAATATAATAAAAACACAGATTTACATGTAAATTGACTTCCAATGTGCTTAGGATAACCCGTACATGCATCAAACAGACAGTCTAGGCAATCCACCAACACTAAAAAAGGTTATTTGAATACAGTTGATGTCATGGATTAACGTCGCGGTGCAGAAGTTATATCAAACTTTACTTCCCCATAAATGCAAACAAAAACGTGAAGCACCGAATTTCACCTCCATCAAATGATGTTGAAAGCTGGCACTGTCAAAAAAGGTGCTCATGTATATTGCCCATACACATTACAACTGTTAGTCAATCATTACTATTTGTAGTAAGAAAGAAATAAAAGAAAAGTTCAAGAGAAGCCCAACAAGCAACTAAGTGAAACATACAGTATACCATGAAAACTGTATGTAGTCCATTTTTTTTCCATTTCAGCCATTTGATGGAGGTAAGTGTAGCACTGGTTTATTTATTTTTTTAATTCTGAAAGTTTCAAGTTTTGGTAATTACATTTTATTGTTGACAATGCCAATTTTCAACTTACCATTTGTAATTTCTTGCTCTTGGATTCCTAATGAAGTAATGCTTGTGAAGTATGTTTTCAGTCTAAAATCTCAAACAACGAAGAACATGTTCGCCCAGTGATGAATAACATACACCAGCATAGCTCTTTCAGTACTTTCAGTTCTTCTGATATTGATTGGTTTTCATTCCAACATGCACCAAGCATACCAGGGAAAGCTGAGGCAAAGGGAACCTTCAGTTTCCATCTTGTCATTGCTTTATACACAAATACGCCAACAGTACTGAAATGCCTAAATATGCCTCAGTGTTAGGAATTTGCAATAATTGCAGATCAAATTCTCAGAAGTCCGCGCAAATGAAGTGATTTTCATTTTAATTTCTTGAATTTTCTGTGAATTGCCAAAATTGCAATGGCCAATAACAAGAGACAAAAATGAAGCTGTGCTATCTAGGTGCAACAATAACATGATTGAAATTTGGAAGACATCTTCACCATAGGCCCCTGCGTATGTACACCGCAGTAATGGCGATAGATCAAAGTACATGCCGAACACCAACTCCTGGTTCAAATAAGAGCACCAGAATACAGATGCAAATGTTCAAGCCCTACAGCATCATGATGAACAGGACAGTGAACTTTTGGCGAACACAGAGGACTCACTTCTGTTACCGTTTAAATTACATCACTGAGGGACGGACAAAACCATGTTTGTGAAATTTACAAAACCCAGACGCAAAAATGCCAGCCCCTTGCAATGTTTATCAACTACATGTACTAAGAACTCATTATGACTAACTGCCTGTATTCAGTATTCTTACACACACACACACACAAAAACAAAGATAACAATCTGCCAATGAAGAGTGGTTCATGTTTCTAAAGGCAAGATTTTATTGAGCTGTAAATAGTCTTAAACAGCTAGAATACATAATTGGTAAATTGAGAAAATAGTCTAAATACAAATGTGAGATGCTTTTATACATGTAAAAAGGTCAGGAAAATACTACAAATATATTTTGTAATGCAGAAAAGCTAACAACAGAATACTGCATACAAAAAAATGATGCAGCAACTAAAATGAAAAATATCATGAATTCATACCAATGTGGACGTCATTTGATATCCATATCACTCATCCTCATCACTTTCATCTTGATAAACAACGAATATCAAGTGGTGCTCATATTCATTCTAGTATACTCCTAAGCATTCAGATCTTAATCATTCCTGAAATCACTTACCCAAGAAGATTCAATACAGACTTTTGAGAAAGTAATTGGTCATACACATTTTCAGTCAAACATTCCACAAAGTTGGTTTCAATCTGTGAAATGAAAGCTACTCATTTGCATCATTTCTTGAACTGGTTCAGGAATACGGTGCAGCAATCCTTATCTTAAACAATTCAGAACTTAACCCTAATCCCCTAAGGTGGGTGACAAATCATATCAGAATTATCCAAAAACAAAGAAATAATGTGCAGGAAATTGAGTTGCACTTTCTGTGTTTAACAAAATGTTACGCTTCCTCTCACTTCCCAAACGGACATGTTATTCCTTCTACATTTACTTAACATCGTTATTTCCAATTAAACAAAGATATTACAGCAAGAATGTAGCAATTACTGGCAATGCATTTACTGTACATGAATATCCAGATATCTAACATCCAATCTATGTCATTGTATAAGGAGCTTTAATACACTAAATGCAGCTTGACTTGACATGCTCAAATTTGGTTTTTTAAGTTTCTAACAAACAACTTCTACTAGAATTTTATGCATAACAGAAGCATGTTTTGTTGTACACACAGAGCTTTAACTTCACTCCCAGGTAATCTTTAAAACAGACTTGTAGATGAGTTCTTTAGAACAAAAACATTAAGGTTTCTATACACATGTACATGTACTTCATACAGCAACAGGTATCTGGTTTCGAACTTACCCGTAACAGGACACGCCTTGAAAAGATTGACAGGCATGGTTGATTCACGGTAAAATAAAATTGGCAGGAGATCGTGTAAATCAATTGCACCAATTTTAATTGGTCTCTCTTAGTATTTTACCATTTTTCACCGGATTTTGGTTATTTTTGGTTTAATGTATAAACATCACATCTATAAAAATTTAATTTAACGTGTTTAAGATGCAAGTATTTCGTTTGCTAAAAAATTAAGTGTCCAAACTAGGTGCCGCAATAACGCATGTACAACATTGATTGGTTAAATGTTTTACATTACTGCATTTCTGGAAAAATCATAGCTTTGGGATTTTCTATCATGCTGCCCGGGATGCCTGATTTCCGACAATCACTGCAGTAAATACTGATGGCTTGAATCAGTTTACGCTTCTCTATGTTGTAGCGGGCTTTGATGAAGGCTGAAGAAAGAAAACAAAGAAGAAACCATACATTACAGGCAAATAGAAATATAGATTTCATGAGATGAAGATATTTTATAAATGACTATTGCACAATCTTATGCTATATAGTGCGTATCAAAATAGACATGTGGGAAAATGTGTTAGCGTGTGGTCAATATTTGGGTATCATGGAGTGCCCATGTCCTTGTCACCTACATGTATATGTATGGACTAACTCTATCCACTCAAGAGTAGCACTGGTATGAATGATGTACACGAGATGGCAGTTATATAGGAGTGGATTGGATACAGGAAAGATTAGTGCACTTCACTTCAAGCATTGACTTCCCACTGAGCTGAAGTTACTATAAAGAACATCCCACAGAACAAACAGCATGGCTAATAATACAGCGCCTTTGAGTGCACGTTACATCTAAACATTCTATAGCCTATTTGCTTGAAAGAGAACTAACAGGTAAAGTCTAGAAATTGAGAGTTTGATTTTCAAGGGTATCCGGGTTTTAGAGGATCTTATTTTTGGAAATTGTTCAAATAGAAGGATTCGTTTTTGGAGAAATCTTGAGAAAATGTCTCTAAATTGTAACAAAGGCTTAGAAAAAAAAGTCTGCTCTTCTTTAGGACATGCTGGTGTAGGGGGAGCTCTTGAGTGGAGAGTGAGTTTGAAATTGTTTTTTAATATGGCTGCCAATAAAATATTTTGGTTGTCTGAAGTTCGCATCGCACACATACCTCTTATTGCCCCAATGATACTCTGGTCCAGCGGTTGATACTCCATACTGTTTCCATGATGCGTTGGTTTACCCATGGCTAGCGTCATCCGATCAAAATAGATGTCCAGAAGCCGTCTGATGAGGATAGTCCAGCCTTTCTTGGAGGCTTTCTCTGCTTCCCATAGATCAAGACGACTGATGAAGACATCGTAACCATGAGCAAGGCGAAGTTTTTGGTTTCCAATCTGAATGGTGAGAATAGAACCTCTTTGTTTCAGAAGGGTACTCAGTAATATTGTGAAGTTACAATTTAGTGATTGACTTTACTCTTAAATTTTGGTGTTTTTTTAACAACAGCAACTTATGTCGATAACCTTAAATTAATGTCTGTCTATACATGTACCTACAAAATATATTTGTTATATCATGTGCTTGGATACTATAATTTCATTGGTCTTGGAAGGCCACGTGTCTGGACAATAAAAATGTATGTCACACACTGAGGGTGATATCGCATTGCTTTCATTGCCTGCGTTGCATGGGCGAGTGGAACCTGCCAATGCGCTAGCTTTACGCAATGAGAACTGCAACGTCAAACGCTCAGTCTCATGTCCGGCAGGACATCAAAACCTTCAGTTATCAAAGGTTACATCACAGTGATTTAATTTAATTCTCACACAGTGAGTAACACCCATTTATATTTTTGACTTATTGGCACGATATAATAAACAATTGTTGACTGCTGTGATGTGTGATATGCTGTTTATCACCCCCTCAGGGCTCATAGTACCCTCTGCTTATATTATAGCATCTCTCGGGTGTTAAAAACGTCATATTCCACATCACAGCAGTCAACAATTGTTAAATATATTACAGCAACTTCCTTTGCAGTAAAATATGCACTATACACAAAATCAAAAATAGCATTCAGTGGTTTTCAGACAGGGTGTTATCATAATAACCTGTTTTTCAAATGACATTCAAACAATCTCAATTTCTAAATGTAAACAATGAGCAGTGCTTGCATGAGAATGCATGACTAGCAATGACTTACATTAACACCATTACATGTCATATCCTCAGCTGTTAAGAAGTCGATATCAGAAGCAACAGGTATACCGCCACCAGCGTTGACAGCAAAGCTTCCAGGATCTGTCATTCCTACCCCAGCAGGTTCATCGGACATGCAACTCCAATAGACGTTGTTCATGGTAGAGGCCTCGACACTACCTGGTGACGATGTGTCCATTGTCGGCCCTGCAGCAGCCATAGCAAGAGAGGTGGGCACCAGACTGTGTTGACTGACTGGAGGGTATGATTCCCGTGGTTGAGTGCTGCATCCTGGCTGGGCTTCTGCTGAGATAGGTTGAGACGGAGATGATGCTTCTAATTTGGGAACAGGATACTGACTAGTATTGCTGACTCTGTCAGGCTGAATTCTGTCCTCTGAAACTAACAGAAAGATATCTATGTGTATGTGATTCTCTTTTTACTTACAATTGTTATTTTACTGGTTGTCCATGCTTTTATCAGTAAATGGCAAATGCATATATGTACATGTACAGTGTTATACACTTGCTCTGACATACTGCTTGCTGCACTGATCCCACGTGCATCTCTAGGTTAAATTGGATAAACCATCAGTATTCACATCTATGACTTCTCCTCATATGCCACAAATACTGAGCATAATTCACTTCCCAAAACCTTTTTATGATGTTTCCTTTTGATGAGAATTTGGTCTTTTAAACTCTGAATTTGTTCTCCAGGGCGATCAACCTTAAAATATTCCAGTGAAGCCATAGAATCAACTTATTATTGCACACTATTTCTTTAATGTCCATAACCGTTAACAAACAGGGTCACTGGAAGAACAAATATTGAAAAGAATAACTGCATCTATCAAAAATAACGTTGGTGGATCAAAATAAAACAATCTAACAAGATTGTAATGATTATGAACTGATCGTACTGACCAATAATTTACCTGATTGTGGAAATTGTCCAAGCGGATGCTGATCCTGATTATCTTTCAGGTCCTGTGACGTAGCACCATCAAATAGCGGGTTTATTTCACGAGCCTCATGTTCCTCAACCATGTCAGGAAAAACTGGCCTGCTATACTGTGCACCAGCAGTATTCATTGTGGCAACAGGCAAGGACACATTCCACTGGGGATTGGCCTGTCTCATCTGGCCCCCTGAGTTCATAGGCACTTTTCTTTGGTACATTTTCCTGTGCGGAAATGCAATGCTGCTGCCTAACAATCGTTTGGGTGTGCCTCCTGCACTGCTCTTTGACTTCGGTTGCTTCCTTTTGAGGGAGCCTTTCAGTGCATTTTTAGATGCATGTTGATAGTTGACTTGTGTTGGGAGTACATGACTGGAATCGGGGTGTGCTGATTCCATGGTAGACAGAGATACTTGAGTTTGTTGTTGCTTAGTAGGTGAAGGGCTAAGTACATTCTTGTCCGGTGGCTGATGCCCGTCTGGTGTGGTATGAGCAATGCAGGGTTGTGCCTTAGAGTTATCCACTGAGAGACTGGCTTCATCAGCTGACGTTCTTATCTGGACAGACTCTGTACGATCTCCAGTGGGATATGACACAGTGTCTTGAGTTGGCCTAAACTCTGGTCTCCTTGCATGTCTTGGGGCATGGCTCACAATCAAACCCCCAGGAACTCTAGCAGCAGCCAAGCTCCCATGTTGTGAAGCAGGCAATGTGGTCACACTGGACGCAGCACTACCGGTAGGAGTTTCTGACAGGATCAATGTTGCAGTCACATTATCTGAAGTCTGAAGAATAGCCCGTTGTTCTTGTAATCCATGACCGTGTCTGGAGGATGCTGATCTTCTTACTTGAGCCCTTTGGTCTTCCTCATTATTCCTGTAGGAATTTGCCCTAATTCTTGACAGTTTTCTCTTCTTCCTCCAGGGATGCTGCATGTGAGAATGTCCTCTTCTGAGTAGGTTCTTCTTAAGTACAAAAGCTAACTTACTCGGTCTTGAACCAGAGTGAGTGTTCCTTTGATGTCCCTTTTTCTGACGAGCTACGAGCAACCATTGTCGTGGCCTTTGAAATTTGGCTGGACTTTCCTGAGATGATTCCTCACCAGATGCCCATTCTGTGGAATTAAGACACATACAAAGAGTGAGGTACTTGTCACAGAAACTAGCAACATTCAACCATATTTAAACAGCAAAAACCAAATGTTTAATATGACAAATATACGTAAACAGGATGACTATTTCAACACTTTAATGATACAATTGTAATATATATTTCTTTAACATGAACATTTCAGTGGGGCTTTGGTAAGATAAAATGAGAACATATTTTAAGAGTGTAATACACAAAAATGGATGATTGTACCTTCATCAAATGATAACCTGAAAGCTGGCACTGTCAAAGTTTATACATGGTACACCAAATACATGACCACTCAAAAATTTGCCACAAACAGTGACAAATGACTTTACAAAAACGGTGTCTAACAGTTTCTATTAAGATGTACTGTTTGTGCTCTGCAATGAGCTCAATTTTTTTCCACCTTTGTTTGCTCTATTGTAACAGTAAACAATGCTTGGCATACTGGCACAGAATCTTGTAACCAAAACAACTTTCTGGTTAGGTTCTTTGATGGAGGTACATGTACACATTGTATGTAGGACAAAGTTTCAGTTTTGAAAACAGTTGACTGACAATGCCAATTTTCAACTTACCATTTGTATGGTCTTGCTTATAGGTTCACTGTGATGAACACTGCAATTCTGCTAATAGAATCTTGTATAGCTCAGATGCAGTGGTTACATGTTCGTTTTGTGGAAACCACTACTGCACTGTTAACGCATTGCCAAAAGATGTCAAACAAGTTGACTGCCTGCTTTACTAGTGCTCAAGATGAATGTGATTAATGCCAAACCATTAAGGTTGATGACTGCGCAACTATTACACGATATCCTTGTATCCTGTAAGATTCTCTCTGGATTTGTCTCTTTTAACCTAAGGTCTGTAATGCATTGTTAAATTGTATTTATTCACAGAAAAATCAATAAAACCATAGACATGATAGAGGGCAGTTTGAGCAGTACAGGGAGTAACAGGCAAGGTGGTTTTGAATGGCGGAAGGACTAATTTGACTAATCAGTCAAATTAAATATAACCCATTTTGATTTCCTATCTGATACACAATTTCTGCAAATTATACAATGGATCAGTTATCAGCAGGAGTACAGCATCTTGGACAATGCATTGTATCAGCCATGGACAGACCGTTATGCCCGGCAGCATGCATCAGGTTATCAATGCATGGCTTGCTACATGTAGCTTAAAACTACAGATGTTTTGCAAACGTAAGTCTTAGGCTATCTGGGTCAGGCGTTGGGGTTTGCCTGTCAATTAACTGCACCATACTAAGTCATGTAATGAAATGTACAAGCATGTGATATGATTCAAGGTTGTGTTGTGTAACAGTGTTTGCTTTCTATGAGCATCAAGTCCCATATTAAGTAATATTTAGTAGCTGGGCACCACCTTCTGTAATCCTGCAAATCCCTAAAAAACCTCAAGCATCTTACTGTCTTGAGGCCTGACACCTCAAAACTACAAGATGTCTGGAAATTGTGTGCCAAGCAGTGAATAGTGAAGCCAGCAATATTAATGTAGCAAACAATAAAATCTTCTTCCAAATGTGATTATAAGGTTCTTTGGAGTCAGCTCCACTTACAACAGTATCACAAGTCATTGTTCTGTTGAGTGACACAATTCAACTGTAACCACAAACAACTTATTGATCTTGATCATTAAGGCTTGTTTTATTAATTGTGACCAGAATCAGTGGGCTTTATTCCTAAGCCTCATCATTTGACATTGGGCTGCAGAAATTTGAGAACTACAAGTAACTTCATATTTGGTTCAGTTTGAGAACTTATCAATTTTATTCATCCCTGATTGCCGCCCACATATTTCAAACACTCAACTGCAAAAAAATAAATATTTTTTGGCTGATCAATATTCAAATTAACACTTTCATTACATTACACCCTATTTTGTTTGTCATTTTAATTTTGTATGCAATTCTGGCCATTTCTATGGTATGTGCCTCAAACGCGCTGCGCTAACAGTCTTCACTTATGGACACTGGGGCACGTGCGGCATACTGCAGGATGTGGCGCAGAACGCAGCGGTGCAGGAATAAAGTGTTTAAAACCAGCCGATGTTTAAAACCACCCACGTGACAGGCTCTCAACCAATAGGGTAAACTGTCTTAGGTATTTATGAATATTTTTTTATGAAAGCCATGGTAGATATTATGGACACTGTGAGCAATTCTGATTTTTATTTCATAACGATGCAATATTTTATATGTACCTTCATCTGCACCAAACTTTTGACACTATAATAAAAACTGACAGATCAGATCGTCACCATAATCAAACAAAGATGATCCAAGTTGACAATACTGCCCACTTGGACTATATTTGTTCACTTTCCGATTTGTCAATTACCACGATGTCATCTGACAATGTTTCAAAGCAAGGTGCCATCTGACTCAACATAATCTGACTTCTCACTTCCATAATCTGGTCTCACCTAGCATTGCCTGAAACGTTTTAATTCCCATCTTTTGAGAGGTTATAGATGATCCTTAGGAAAGCAGTGGATTTCAAGCTGAAGTGTCTTGACCTTATCTTCACATACCTCCTGAATCACTGGCCACGTCATCAGAGCTTGACATCTCTTCAAGTGACATCATATCTGGGTCAAGAGTGAGCGGCTCATCCTTGACAAGGTAGCCAGTTAAGTGTAATGTTCCTGGAAATAATATACTCCAAAGAGTTAGTCAACACATAGTATGCACTGGTGTGAAGACAGCCTGTGATAACCCAACAAAGGATTAGTCCCCTTAAACATGATCTTAAATTAATCAATGTACATTGCCTTTCATCACAATAGGTATAGAAATTTCTTGAGCAGCAGTGACATGTGTTGTTTAGTTGTTCATTCAATTACGGGAAATTTCAATTTGTTAGTTTTTTTAAAATAGGCAAGCCTTTCATATTAATTTTAATATAAAAAAAATTCAATACATTTCAGGGTATCTCCATTTATGCATAAAAAGTAGGCAGCAGATTACATAACTTGTGCATTTCATTTCATGTTGATTGAAATTGTGCAGTTGTAAGATTATGGGTCGATTATCATTTCGCATAGTGAAAAGTAACTGACTACAATTCTTAGACCAATCGAGACCAAGAGAGTAAAAAATGACATGACTTTGGAGATTACACATCAAGCAATTTGGGTTTTTTGTTTCAGAGCTCAAAGAATAAACCTGAAAATGTATGTTTCAAATCTTATACATCCATCCTCTGGTTATTGGTCATGTAGATTATACACTTGAGTCACAAATCCCATGATATAGTGATCAATGATAGTTGATACATGTACATGTAGCTGTCAGGCCCGGGACCATTGATGCCAGCAATGTCCTCTTCTATGATACGCTGAATCCATGCACAATGACTGAGTGGAATGGAGCAGTACTGTTAATTATTAAGTGAATTACCTCGTCCTTCAGTGAAAAATGTCACCTCTTCACCCTCTGTCAAGTTCAGATCCAGTGACTGTTGGAAGACGGTACCATAGCACAATGTGCAGACAAGGAATTCTGCCTTTTCATGTTGAACCATCAACTGGGTCAACTTGCCTTGCTCTCTCTCAGTAACTACAAGTACAGTAAAACAATAGAATATGCAGTCGTGTGTTAATAGCCTTCAATTCTTTTATCTTTAATTCATGCTGAGCCCTTAACCCTAACTCCCTTTTGCTAGGATGCAACCTCAATCCTGCAAAATCCTCCAACTGCCTCCGTGTAAAAATTGCATACAGCCTCAATCCTGCCAAATCCTCCGTTATTTCTTGAATGGTCCTTGGAGGGGTGACTACTGCCTCAATCCTGCAAAATCCTCCAGCAATCACTGTCAATATGTTGAGGCAGAGCCAGTGGCATCCTGGAAGATTTCAAGTATAATCTAGGCCTAAATTTATGCACAGCTGAGCATCAACAACACAAGGTCCTTCCCAAGACCTTGACACAGTACATCCTCCAAAATCAGCCACACATTTTGCCATGTAGCCTCAATCCTGCAAAATCCTCCATTTTGCACAAAGGATTTTAGAGGATTTGGGAAGGTTAGGGTTAATAGCAGAAAAGTTGTGTTAACTGTTAATGAAAATTGTGCAAACTTAAACTGTATTTCAGGCATTTTTTTTTTAAGCTAGCATGCCTATTACCTTAGTACTGTCTTTACTGCTTACTGTGTCTGTAAAAAGGTACGACTGAAGAAGTTGTAATATAAACAATAGGTACATGAACTTACTGGCTACATCTCTGGTGTCCAGTGCAACCATGGAGACATGGAAGGACTCTTCCACTGTTTGGGTGTAATGTTTCCCAGGCTCTATGGTCAAACCTGTCAGGAAAACAAGGCAAGCCATCAGGTACTTCAATCAGAGTTCATTCCATCCATTTGCAGCACCATACTTCAAAGTAGACTGTGATACCGATGTACATGTACTTACAAATGACCACAAGCTAACAGAACCATGGCAAATATGCCACAAAGCTGCTCATGCACAATTTCATACACCTTTTTTTTTACGATGTGAAGAAACACCATGCCATCAAAAGGAGAAAAATTAACTTTGTATCATAAAACAGAAACTTTGAAACCAGGCACCCATTGCCATAGTGGTCGCATACATAGTAACTGAAATCAATGTAAAAACATAACAAAGCCCCGCACGCTTCCTTTTTGGAGGCCGCCTCCTTTTTTTCCTTTTTTTAAAACCAGTCCTTCTGATTTCCACACACCTGTGATTTTCAAATCAGGAGGACTGTTAAACCGAAAAAATGATAAATTTTAAACACTGAAATCATTTTGGCCTCTGTGTCTATTGCATCTAGCCCATATAAAGCTGGCTAAGTCCAATGGCGGCCATTTCAAAAATCCTGGCGGCCATTTAAAAAAATAGCCCAGTCGGGCGGCCCTTTTGTAGGGGGAAAAAGGGGGCCCTCCCACTTCCTTTTTTTCAAAAAGGCAGGATGCTTCACATTTTTTTTTTTTGGCCCTAGTGCTAGATGATAAACATTTAATTGCCATGATACGTAAGTGAGTTTGACAGTTCCATATCGACAGTTCCCGATCACTTGATTAAATAAGAAGTAATTCAAGTGTAACTAAATTTTTTGTCGAGATTTTTTGCACCAATTTCAATTTCTATCTTTTTGTAATGGTCAAAAAAAGAAGAAGACATTTTGGTCATACTAATAAGCGTCAACACAGCGTCAACACACACAGAAGCATCAACACAGCGTCAACATCTCCAAAAACGCATTCAAATCGACAAAACCTGTGTTCAAACCGTAAAGTATGGGCAAAAATGAAATTTTGACTCATAATCAAAAGGTTAAACGTCTGAAAATAGCAAATTTTCTTGAACTGAAAATTGGCTCTCCGTGCAGCTCCGAAATCGGAAGCCATGTTGCCTTAGCTCAGGGGAGCGCGGATGATACCATTACGCAAAAGTGGTAATAGCATTATACAATAAATCAACAAAGGGTGGTCGTTACGTGTGTATCCGCATACCACATGATCATTTCATTATCTGCGCACCCATATCTGAAATGGTGTAGTCCAAGCTCCGTGCAAAGGCAAGATGGCGGACAATGGCAGTGCTGCTCAGAGATAATTTTTCGTGTGAAAAACTCCTTTTTTCGTAAACAAAATGTAACCTCTGACCTAGCCCTCTGTAAATAAAGGCCATACTTGGAACATGTACCCAAACAAGTACAACTTTGTCAAATTTGGATTTTCACATTTAGGCTTTGTTTGTGGTTTATTTTTACTTAGGTTTGGCAACACTACACGAGTCACAAGGAATGTCTGGTAGGCCTAGGGGGTAGGCTTCGAAGTGCGCCACGTTAGGGAACACGACTAGCCTATGTAGGCCCTATAGATAATTTTTTCCTTCCTCGTTATATGAATTATTTCCCCTTTACATGCCTTTAACCGCTAGCCCTATATACAATTTATTTTACATAATTTATTTATGCCGTTTATTTTACATAATTATGTCGTGTAGTGTTTGTTAAGATTGCGCAAAATTCATAAATTGCGCACGTGATATTCCCACGCAATCTTAAGAATGAGCGCTCATTCTCCAGATTGCGTGCTCATTCTAATAAGAACATGAAGAATGCGCTCTCGTTCTTAAGAATGCGAGCCGATCGCTTACTCATGTTACTCCTAGAACTATGAGGCTCCGCGGAGCCTCATAGTTAGACTAGGAGTACCGATCGCTGACACGAGAAATGCAAAACAACCCATCGCCACTCACACAAAATACTTCCAAGAATATTCTTGACCCAAGTACTTACCCCAAAACATTGTTAATGTGACGATTTTGATTGTGTTGTATTTGTCTAGACAACATTAAATCAGTTTTTTGCTAAACAAAGCGGGTAATGCGTGAACTGGCTAGGTACCCAGACTGCGCATATGCCATAGCCCCAGAGGGCGCCACGTGCGAAGCCGCATGCGCTATGCAAAGTGCTGCGACCACCTGAGAACGAGGTTGCTCCTGTGAAAGAAGATCCTTCCTCTATTACCCTTCGCTCGTACCCCCACCATGCAAACAGGGCGCTGGGAAGGGCAGATAAGCTTTACTGAATCTTATGAAAGAAGTTGGGATGGCATTCTGGGTAATTTATCATTATCTATATATAAAGCATCTGGCTGCAGCTGTAGACCGCGGTTAGCCAATGTGCGCAAATACTATCCGAAAAGTTTGCTATAGAAATGCATATACACCATACCGGATGTGATTTCTTTTTCATTGCGGACCATGTGGACACATTTTGAGCAATTTTGAGCGTCGAATGATATGCATTTCGACCCTTCGTGAATTCGAAACGGAGCCTGAGCAACTGTCAGTTGAAAATTTACAAAACAGATAAGTTTTACAAATTTTCCTTCGTTAATATGCTTTTTCAACCAAAAAAAGGGCGCCGCATTTGTGAATGGGAATAGAAGACTTGATGCATAAAAGAATGAATCAGTCTTAACAGCCGTTTCAAACATGAAGGAATTTGGCAGATTTTTGATCAATCTGACAGATTTTTGAAGTCCATTTAGCAGAATTCGGCCATGACCTTACGGTCACCCTGACTTAGGGGCCGAAGTGAAAACGGTTTTATGTTGGCCTAGGGAAGGTTGGAGTAAAACGGCACCCTTAACTTCTCACGCAGCCAATATAAATCCAAGTAATTGTCTAAGGGACTCGAATTTAGGTGTAAGGATGTATAACAGTTATTTGTATTGCGCTGTTAACCCCCCCCCCCCCCCCCCCCCATATGCAGGGGGTAAAGCCACAAGCGGAACACCCATGTAACGGGGTAAATCAGCTAAAATACATATTCACCTGATATTATTTGTGTCATTCTAATATGTAGTCTAAACCCTCCATCCATCAACATCATAGGGTGTCTTATTATTTTCTGAGAAAAATGCATATCTTCCCTCCTTTTAAAATTTTCCCCACTTGGCCATCAACAATTCACCATGCAGTCATACGCAGTTATGCGCTTTTCGGGCATACAGGTTGGTTGAACTTGACCAAAATAATAGT